TTCCAGAAGCAGACTGCATCATTTCTTCCACAGAGCACCTGGTGGACTCAAACTTCCAACCTTTTGGTTAACAGCCAATTGCTTTAACCTCTATGCGACTGGAGCTCCTTTTGTGAACAGGAGGCACTGCGTTAATGCTGCTCTCCCACCTGCTGTGTTACACTGAGCACTGTGCCCTCTTCTTGCTCCCTGGAAAACCAGACCAGAGGATTGTTTGAAGGTGGGGCTAGTATGGAAAGGGGCGGGGAGGTGGGGGGAGATGGGAGCCCCAAGCTGTGGTCTCAGCTCCCCTCTAAATCACTCAGAGACTGCGGGCCTGCCTGTGCATCTATCAATGTGTCCATTAATCGCTATCTGGCTCTTCAGCCAATATGATGCCAACAACATTTGCTGAGCAGCAACTCTGGGGCTAGGAGCTCTGGTAGTGTAGTGCCTAAGGCTAATAAGAAGGCTGGTGGTTCAAATCCACCAGCCATTCCTTGGAAGGAAAGTTGGGCAATCTACTTCCATAGAGATACCCACCTCAGAAACCCAAGGAGGGGTCTGACTGTGTGGCAGTGAGTTTGGTTTGGTTTTGGTAACTCTGGGCCTGAAGGCCCAGAGCTGAGTTTCCACAGTTCCTGTTTCTAAGTCTTGCCCCATTAAACCACAGTTAGGGTTTTAAATGATCAGAGATGATAGAAAGAGTGATTCATGGGGTAAGAATCCAGAAAAAACTTCTGAGAAGGGACTTCATTTGCTAAGAGTCCTGAGGTTGAGCAGAAGTTCATCAGGCAGTGGGGTGAGGGAAAGGCATTCCAGGCAAGGGGAACAGCATTTAAAAAGACGTGGAGGCGGGAAACGATATGGTTGGTTGGGGAACTATAATTGGTTACACTGAGATTGAGCTGTGAAGGGCCTTCTAGGGTTTATTTCCCTCACAATGTTGCCACACAATGTCTTGGAGTTGGAATACTTAAGTCCAAATCCCAACCTGTTTCTTGGGTGACTCACTGAACTGGAGTTTCTTGCTTTATAAAATCAGGGTAATAATACCTGTTTTGCAAGATTAGAATGAGAACTACGTATGGAGAAAAAAAGCATCCAACAGTCACCTGGCATAGAGTTTTGCTCAATGTGTATATTTTAAGTCTTAAAACAATGAAATTGGAATCTGAGTATAACAAACATTGGTGCCTACCACAGGTCAGGTGTTTCTATGGTATTTCATGAAATTCTTACACTCACATTTTACAGAGGAGAATATTGAGGCTCAGGGAGGAGGAAGTGGCCTGTTCAAGGTCACTCAGGTGTCTGGACATGGAGCAGGGATGAGAATAAAGGTGGGTCGGGCTCCAGATCCTTATTCTTTCCAGACTTCACCTCAATGACAAACACCTTGCCCCTTTTCCTCCTCCCCTCTTCATAGCAGAGACTGCTCACAGCCTCCTGTTATCTATTGCCCAGTCCTGTTTTAGTAACAGACTCCACTTGTAGCTGGGCATATGGTTGTTGTTGTTGTTGTTATGTGCCGTCGAGTCGGCCCCGACTCATAGCAACCCCTCCTTGGGTTGCCGAGGCAGTATCGCTACAGAATTAGATTGCCCAACCTTCCTTCCGAGGAGTGGCTGGTGGGTTTGATCCGCCAGCCTTCTGGTTAGCAGTCAAGTGCCTTAGGCACTATGCTACCAGAGCTCCTTGGGCATATGGTGGCTCTGTCCAAAGCCTACATTTCATGGACTCTCTTGCAGCTAGATGTTGCCATGGGGCTAGGTTGTGGCCAATGAGATGTAAGTAGAAGCATCATGTGGAACCTCCAGAAGTCTTAAAAGGGAAGATGACACCTCTCTCCCTTTCCCTTTTTTAAAAAATTAAGCAAACATCTGTTTGCAAGATCTGTTCCTTCCCTTCCTTCTGCCTGTTAACTGAACTCAGACAAAATGGTTGGAGTCCAAGCAGCCATCTTGAGCCATGAAGTGCTATGTTGTTAGGACAGTAAGATGGTGAGTTACCAGCCCTGTCCAGTCCTGGGCTGCCTCCCACCCCCACTCTCTGTCTTCTGAATCACCAGCTCCCCTCTACTAGGCCTTCCCTTCAGCATTTAAAGAGGCTCAAATTTAGGTTCTCCCAACTGAAGAGAAAAGAAAAAACCCTCTCTCAATCCATGCCCCCTTCCATGTTCCCCTTTCTCTCTTTCTCTTCACAGTCCACCAACTGGGAAGAAGTGCCAATGCTCAGGTCTCCATTTCCCAGCCATCCTGCAACTCACCGGATGGGTTCTGTCCTGGATCCTACCTGAACTGCCTGGGCCAAAGGCTTCTGGACCACTAAATCTAATGGGCTGTCTTTGGCTCTCTTCTGACATGAACTTTCATAAGCATTTCACACTGTTGCCCACATCTTCCTTACACACTCCTCAGCGCGTCTTTGCCTCTGCTCTGAGCTCCAGTACCCTCTATCCAACAATTGACTTGACTTTCTACTTGCATTTCTCAAAAACACCTCTATCTCAACATGTCCAAATTGAACTCATGGTCCTTCCTTTCTTGCTCCTTCAAACCTCAATGCTCCTGCCAGAAATATGGGATGCATCTTTGATACACTACTTTTCATCACTGCCCACAACCAAACCATCATCAAGCCCTGACAATTTAATCTCATAATCTCATAATCCCACTCCCATCAGCCATTTCAAACCACTATTACAATTCTCCCATAATTGGTCTTTCTGCTTCTACTCCAATCCCCCTAAGGACATATCTTGTAGATAGCAAGTAGTCAAAGGGATCTTTCTATCAATAGGGTCTTATCACTGGCTTGCTCAGAAGTCAGCAACCACTTCCCTAAGGACGAAAAGTCAAACTCCTGCCTGGGGCCCAGCATGGCCAGAGGCTGCCCCTTCACCTCCACTTCTTCACCTCACTCCCCCTCCATCTCGGTTCTGGTCTCACCAGCCTTCTGGCAGCTTCTAGTAACCACATCATCTTTCCTTCCTTGGGTCTTTTGCACTATCTGTCTCCTCTGTCTGGCCAGCCCTTCCTTTTTGGCAGTTAACACCTATTCAGATCTCAGTCCAAGCATGACTTCCATAGACTGGTTCCCAGCCCCACACTCCCCCATCACTATCCATAAACATTTCCTTCCTAGGACTTAACACCATTTGAAGTGGTGCAGGTACTTAAATGCTGTCTTCTCCAATTAAAATGTTAGGTTTGAGGCCTGTTTTGCTGGAGGTGGTGTGCCCTGCACTCATAGTATGGCTAGGCAGGGTCACCCAAGGAGTATTTGTCAAATGCATAAACAAACATACACCCTCTATCCTGGCTATTGTGTTCACATTGCTGTTGTTAGCTGCTGTCCTGAGTCACGGCGATCCCGTGCACAGTGGAACAAAACACAGCCCAGCTGTGCGCTATTCCCATGATCAGTTGCAGATCAGACTGTGTGATCCATCGGGTTTTAATTAGTTAAGTTTGGGGAGTAGTTTACCAGGCTTTTCCTCCTAGTCTCTGTCAGCTCCACTGAAACCTGTTCAGCATCACAGCAACATGCATGCCTCCACCGATGGACGGGTGGTGTTTGCGTGAGGTGCAAACTGTATTTCCTGCACGAAAGGTGAGAATTCTACCAGCAAACCACCAATGCCTCATTATAAGGGTTAGTTTAATTGCAAACAAGCATTTTAAAGGAAGATTTAAAAGGTAATTCAATAAGTAGTTACACTGTGGAGCTCATAAAAGGCCAATGGACGTCAGTGACTTTGGATAAAATTTCCAAAGGCAGCTGTTCTGGTTACCTAATGCCTCTCTGACATGAATATACCACCAATGGGATGGCTTGAACAAACAAGAGTTTATTCCCTTACAGTTTGGGAGGCTAGAAGTACGAGTTCAAAATGCCAAGCACTAGGGGCTGTGTGAAAGCCCCTCAACTTGGGCTTCAGCTCTCCCTCCTGCCCCCGGCCCACTGAAGCTAGAGGCATCTCTTCACTCAGGCAGCTACTGGCTGCTGAGGCTAACAAGCCCAAGGTCGACAAATAAAATGGCACCGTCCAGATGTTACCAAACACGCCATCGATTCAAGTCCATTGAAAGTCCCAGGATCAGCAGACCATCACAAGCTGCTGAACAGCCACACGACTCCATGCAGGGTTTAAGTGTGCCATAAGCTAGAGACCATTTCCAAAGCTGTTTCTTATATACAGGAAGCAGATCACATACCCAAAGCAACTTCTTGTTGTTATGTGCTGTGAAGTCGAACCCGACTCATAGTGACCCCTCCTTGGGTGTCCGAGGCAGTATCACTATGGAAGTAGATTGCCCCATCTTCCTTCCGAGGAGTGGCTGATGGGTTTGAACTGCCAGCCTTCTGGTTAGCAGTCAAGTGCCTTAGGCACTACACTACCAGAGCTCCAAAGCAGCTACTCAAATAAATTTCACCATGGAGTTAATTACCAACCTCACCATGGGGAATAACCACATTCAGCTGCCCAGCCACTCAGCCAGGCCCAGCCAAGTTGACACACAAACGTAACCACCACAGCAGCCATGTGGTTAGCTGCCATCCAATTGATGGCTCCACAGGATTTTCAAGGCTGTGACCTTTCAGAAGATCCCTTGGTCTTTCTTCAGAGGCGCCTCTGGATGAGTTCGAACAGCCAACCATTTGGCTGGTAGAGAGCACTTAACCATTTGCACTACCCAAAGACGCCAAAGGCAGCAAACTACAGGGATTCACAAAATGCAGGAACCCTAATGCAGGGATTTATAAGTCCTATCTGAAAGGCATTCCAGACAAAGTGCTTAAACAGAGATGAGTGAACTGCAAACACGTAACGACGAGAAAGCACTTCGTAAAATATACTGGTAGACCTCGCTTTTAATTTTCCAGGAGAGAAGAGATTGGAGACCGCGCCTGCGCAAACCCCCCGCCCCGGCCCCAGCCCACTTAGGCCATAGGGTGCCGCTGGGCGCATGCTCCCTGACAGCGCGGTCGTCCTCGCTTCCTTCAGGCCACTCTAGCCCCTTTCTCGCCTGCTCCGCCAGGAGGCCGGAGTGCCCGCGGGGTCTCTCCAAGATGGCAGCGCAGAGGAGGAGTCTGCTGCAGAGTGTGAGGAAACGACCTGCTCTCTGGGCTGGGGGTTGGGAGTCCGAGGTCGCCAGTCCGGTCCAGCAGCGGCTCTCTCCGCTTTTGGACCTCCTTCCTGTCCTGGGCGGGGTGTGGCCGCTGCCCTCCCCTCCCCTCTCCCGGGCTGGCCGCCTCCTTCCCGAGACCGGGGACGCGCGCCGGTGGTTCGGTCTAGCGCGACGATCGCGTGCGCGCTGCCAGCCCGACAGTCAAGGGTCACGGTCTTTCTGGTCCCAGAGTCCCCAAGCTTCTAGAGTCCCGGGGCTCCTCCCTGAAGGGATATCATGCCCGACCGGCCGTGGAGGGTGAAAGCATTCTCGGAGCCGGAAGAGAATGTGGCTCGCGGCAGCGGAAGGAGCCGAGGTCGTGAGCTCAAAAGCCGCACAGTGTTGTTATGTGCTGTGCGGTCGGTTCCGGCTCAGCCGTATGTACAGCAGAAGGAAACACTGCCCAGCCCTGCGCCAACGTCACAATCGTTGCTATGTTAGAGTCCATTGTTGCAGCCACTGTCAGTCCATCTCTTGAGGATCTTCTTCTCTTTCTCTGATCCTCTACTTTACCAAGCAAGTGTCCTTCTCCAGAAACTAGTCCCTCCTGGTAACATGTCCCAAGTGCCTGAGACAAAGTCTTCCCGTTGCTTTTAAGGCATTCTGTCTGTACTTCTTACAAAACAGATCTGTTCATTCTTCTAGAGGTCCGTAGTGTATTAAACATTGTTCACCAACGCTGTTCATTCAAAGGCATCAAGTTTTTGGTGTTCCTTTTTCATGGTCCGGCTTTCACATGCATGTGAGACTATTGAAAATAGCGTGGCTTTGGTCAGGTGCATCTCAGTCCTCAAAGTGGTATCTTTGCTCTTTAGCACTTTAAAGAGGTCTTTTGCAGCAGATTTGCACAACGCAATACATCATTCGTTCCTTGACTGCTGCTTCCATGAGCATTGCTTGTGGAGCTAAGTAAAAAAATCCTTGACAACTTCAATATTTTCTCCATTTCTCACGATGTTGCTTATTGGTCCAATTGTCAGGATTTTCCTTTTTTGTTGAGGTGTAATCTATACTGAAGGCTGTAGACTTTGCTCTTCATCAGTAAATGCTTCAAGTCCTCTTCACTTTGAGCAAGTTGTGTCAGCTGCATATCGCAAGTTGTTGTCTTCCTCCAATCC